AATATCGATACGAGTATCGTTGCACCCCTAGTAGGTAGATATAAGTGCTTACATTTCTATCATGTATAGCATGGTTTCTGCTTTTCTAATAGCACAGTTATATTGACTCTCGTCCAATATAGTTACAAGTACATGTTTATTGACTTGAGTTAGAGACAACTAAACTGAAGTTTCAGTATATTTATTATAAAACTATAATTTATGTTTTTGCACTGCGAGGTGCAACTGTAGAAGAATATAATGATGGTTGACACAAAAACACCAAACAAGAATACAAATCCTTGAAACATTAGATGAACTCCTCTTTAGTCTACGATGACTCAGAGCTGTTAACATCAGGTGTCCTCAGATTTCATTTACCTGGCTGGCCTGTTTCTGGGTGAACTGCTGCTGGGCCTTAGGAGCCTTTTCTGGTGATCCAGAGGCACGGTGAGATTTGGCGTGAGATCGCAGAGCAGATGAGCTGGAGGTGCTGCTGGAGGTCTGCCATTTACAAAAGTAAACAAAAGGTTAGTATGAGACAATGGTGGATAAACTACATCAAAGCTAAAAACTATACTGTGTGTTGCTGAAAAACAGGAGGATATACAGTATTTATTTTACAAGATTCAATTAGAAGCAGTCAAGAGCTTTAGATTAAAGCATAAATTAAGATTACAGATAACATCGGACATTTTATGACACTGTAGAAAAAATAAAAATGCATGAAAATCAATGCTGCTGCCAATCACTGACCCATCTCAGGGGAGCTGCCATTTTTGGTTTCTTTTTGGTTTTTACGATAAAAAAACAAGCAATAAAGCTTTGTATTCATACTGGCCTTTAACAGGTTAAAATAAAAAGAATTATAACTAATTTTTGGTATCTAGTGAAGTAGTTTTAAAAGACTGAGTCATTTAAAGTGGAAAAAATCTTGACTTCTTCTTCTAAAGCAGTAGAAGAGTCGGGATTTTTAAGGATCACCCTCTCTGTACTGTTTTCCTTTTCAAACATCAGCAGCAGCAGCAAAGAATTTCCCTGAAAGGATCACACGAAGAAGAAAAAGGCAAACAGCAATGCAGAACCCACACTTGTGTTCAGAAAACCCAGGTTATGGTAGGAAAACAACTTTCCATCGGAGATGTGATAAAATGCATCAATTTTCTTGTTAATTTTGGGGAGTTTGAAGAGAGGAATTCAAAGCTGGTGCAGTTTTCACAACAAATGAAAGACAAGTTCAAAGAACACAGAGGTAGATGGTAACGCTGCCCACCACCATCCCAGCAGTCTGACGTGAAACAGCTGGGCAGAGGAACATCAGACCTGTTTCTTGACGCCGTTTCGTTCGGCGCCGCGTGCAGTCTGGGGTTTGGCTCTCTTACTCTCAGGTGGATTTGGACCCTTCGTGATCTGAGTCGCTGACCTTTTGGATGGACTTCTCTCTCGTTCTTGTTTGACTTTTCTTTTAAGCTGAGCTTTGTCAGCTGAGTCGCATAAAGAAGCAGGGGCAGTTATGCTCTCCATGCTGATTTCCAACTGTTTAATCGACTTCTCGAGACTGTCTATAGAGTCGAACGTGTTTTTGCAGAGCTCCTCTACCCGGTTATGTGACTCTGAATGTCTGGTATTAATATAAGAGCAGATATTGTCTCTGTCACAGGCGTTGCTTTTGTCCAACTTCATTTGTTCCATGTTATTCATTTTAAACATCTGCGATTTATTTGTCGGGCTCTTGGTCTCCTTGGCTGTTGTGCCACATGCTGCTACTTCCTCCTCCTCAACAACAACTTCCTCCCTGTTGTGTTTGCTCCTGTTCCCTGTTCTGATAGCCTGGCTAAATGCTGTCAGTCTTTTTTTAGGGAACTTGAACTTGAATTTCCTTTTTGTCTCAGTTTTTTTAAGTGAAGGTGATTCAGTCTGGCCCTGCTTTTCAAGAACGGTGCTTTTATCTGTTGAAGGTCCTTCGTGCTGTATTTGTGGAGGATTCTGACCATTTCCTGTCGTGAGTGATCCCATATTAATATTCGCGATACCACTTTTTCTAATACCCCGTTCCTCTTCCTCCTGGTTTGTCTTTTCCTCATCTGAAATGCTCTCTGGAGAAAAAATCCCATCAGTATCTTCCTCACTTTCAAAGATTGTAGACAGCCGCTTGTAGGCCGACTGAAAGTCCACAGGCTGGTTCAAGAAAACAATAATAGGTTTTCTGTCAAACTGATCATTACCGTCCTCAAAACCGTGGTTCTCCTGTCTTACATAGGTGGGCTCATCAGCGGTGTCCCCAGATACTGTTTGTATTTGAGAGCCATTCATCTTGGCTGAGGTTTCCTCTTTGGACTGTGGTCTGACTCTGGTCTTGGAGATTATTCGGCTATATTTACAAATCTGAGGCGGTGGAGGGGGCGGTCCCTCACCAGCCTCATCACAGCTCAGGCTACCTCCGTCTTCTGAGTATTGCAACTGGTTACCAGATACTAGCACTGTTTGTTCCAGGTTCCCCTGCTTGCTGCTACAGTTTACGATGGGTGAAAATGGGGAAGGTGTTGTAACGGAGGTTGGAGTTGTACACTCCTGGTCAGGCCTCAGTGACGTATTCAGCTGGACTGGTGGTCCTGATGTCCTCTCTTTTTCTCTGGTTTCTAAAGTTACACCTACCATCACATTAGACTTCTTCTCTGACGCTTCTTTGGCGGTTTCATTCGTGTCTTTGGGACTTTTGGCACATCCTTGAATGTTTTCTTTCTGTAGAGTAACAACTGTTGCAACCTTGACCTTCTTTTCTTTTGTGGCCGGCGACGATACCTGTCCAACAAACTCTTTCACTTGATTAGGAGTTCTAACATTTTCTTTCTGTGAAACTCTTCCTACTCTAAGTTCATCTATTTTTATGTCTTTGTCCTGACTTGATGTTGGCTCCTCCTCATCAGTCTGGAAACGTTTAACATCTTTTAAAGTTCCCAGTGGAAATATCTCCACATCCTTTACTGTTGGACAAGAAGGCACAATTACCGTCTCCACTTTGTTCTCAGTGAGACTGTTTCCCCCACCTTCCCTGTTTGCTTTCAGTCCAGCTGCTGCTGTGAGTTTATGGGGGTAGTCATTTGTGAAGCACAGCTGAGGGTCTGACTGTTGGTCACATGTTGCTAACTCATTAGCTACTTGTGAGTTTAGAGACGTCCTCTCCTTTTTTGCATTTTGTTTATTTCCAACTGATGAGTGATTCTTATTTGTCAGTTCTGTCACCTATGAACAGAAAAGGTAAAATGAAACAACAAAA